TTTAGAAAATTTGATGACTGTTTCAGACGTATGCACTCATATTAATGGATTATTGTAGCTTTTTGAAGAAATAAGTAAAATACTGGGCTGGTTTATGTAAAAGTCTACAGATTAAAGAATTTTGCTTAAAAAAAAATAAATAAGAAAAAATAAAATAAACTGTTGTCAAGTTGTTTGTATGCCTTATAATATTATGCCAGTTTTGACTAATTTTAACACTAGTCACATGAAAATATGCCATTACCGTGAATTACCGACGCGAAATTGATGTCGAGTATAAATAATAAAACTAATTTATAATTCTGTGTTGAGACTTCATTTAGTTTGAAATTATTTAAAACAATATATAAACGTACATATAATTATATCTTAAAATAGATATTTTAACATTTTAACAACAGTCACTTAATCAAATGGACAATAAATTGGACTTTTATGTACGGTTTCCTGTTTTATATACTGTAGAGTTTATGGGTTTGGACTCAAATTACTTATAACTTAAACCCATTACCAGGCCCATATGCTCTAAGTTTTTTATGTTTCTTTTTGTTTTTATTTGCTTTTGTTGCAGAAACTATCTACAGTCTAGTACATTCAATAAACTAAAGTAATAAAATGATGTCCGTACAACACGTTACATGATTAATATCCTTTCAATCCATTTCATTAAGCCTATTTAACTGCCAATAGTATTAAACTCATTTATAATACAACAGTCTACCTTACGAAAATCAACAACCTCGACCAATTATTTAAAATAAACAGACATTAAGTTCACGAGGTCATCTAATTAGTGGAGTGGTTAATTGAACTCTGATACGCAATGCCATACGATTCTTGACAATGCAAAGTAACATTGCGATATATCGTGCTTTTACGGGTGACATTGTAAATAATTAAGCAAAGGTTAATTGATTGTATTTTTACAAAGTTGGCTTTCTGGTAAAGAGAGCAGTCCTGTTTTGTATCTGTATAATCATGTTAAAGATTCTTTTGTATATGAAAATTATCTTGATATAATACCAAGTACTTTAAGAAAGTATCTTACAAGAATAAGAATATCTTCGCATTCATTACATATGCAAACTGGTAGGTTTCATAGAAATAGAATTGTTAGAAATGAAAGATATTGTTTATATTGTTATCTACATGACGTCGAAGATGAATACCATTTCATTTTAATTTGTCCTTGTTATATTGATATAAGAAAAAAATATATATAAAAAGATACTATTATATAAGACCTAGTATGCTTAAATTCACTGATATGTTAAAATCAAACAATAGAAGTATACTTTTAAATTTATCATTGTATGTACGAGATGCGATGTCTCATAGAAATAATTTAGATAATAGTAGATACAACTTAGTATATTGATAATTCATCCTCTATATTGATATGAAAGAGACATGTTTATATATCCGATCTTGTGATTTATGTTAGTATGTATTGTAAAATTGTTTATTTATGTATGACGATGTATGATTGTACAAGTCAAAAATAAAGTATCTGTTCTGTTCTGTTCTGTAAAGTGGATATCGCGACATTGTCGTTTCAGATTGTCGCCGTTGTTTGCGATTGTCGGGTATCACTTTGTAATGTCGCGTTGTCGTGTGTCGACCATGCAAACCTGATGGTGACATTATAAATGACCCAAATAGGATTCCGTATATAGAATGGTATACAATGGTAAACAGTTTTGCTCAAATATTATCCCTTACTGACGTCATTATAAAATTGTTTAAGATAATGTCTTTTAACAAGTATAAATAGATTTAAAACAGAATTCAGGTCTGATTTACCCAAACTGGAAAACAAACTTTAAATAACTTCATTTTTGCTACTGGTCTCAGAGTTAATTATAGTCTACTAGATAATTATAAGTTTTAGATGACGGTGTCGCACTATTTATCTGGCACATGGAGTAAAGAATTAAGCAAATAGGTACCTTTGTATTTATTGATGGTGAAAATTGAGTTCGGAGATACAGAGTATAATGAAAAGAGTTTATTACTTTTGAGTACAGACCAGAGTTATTTGATGTTACAGTAATTATCAAGTTAATAATAATAATACCGTTTACATATATGGATTCCAGGTATTTTAATAGGCAAAAACGAGAGACATATCAATGTCGTAGCTAGACCTGCTTTTTTTACCGAGTCAGGGTACATGCTCCCCCGGAATTTCCTTTAACCTAAAACGTATCTGGTGCATTTAGGAGCACGCTAGGACAAGCTTTTTGTCATTCTGAATCTAATCATCATTATACCATTTTAGTAAATTTAACATTTATATTTTGGAAACAAGCAAGAAAATGTTATGTTCTTTACGGGATTTGAAATACATTTTGTTTCATTTATCTATTATAGATCAGGTTCACATGTTCGTGAAAAGGTAATTGTTACGGTTTCAGAAGCAACCCATAACATTAAAATCTCATTATAGGTTAGTGAGATTTGTTTATGAATATGTATCAAAGCTAGACCATTTAATCTAGCATCCTTCATAGATGATCGAGTCCATTCTGCTATAACTATTATTGGAGGCTTTTATTTTTTCTTTTTCTTTTCAAAACCGTTTTTTTTTCTACCTAATCCAAAATATCCATTAACTTCCCAAAATTTAACCGAGGCAACTGGTTGCCTCAGTGTGGCTACGGAGCTGCACATATACTCATTGTAAATATACTTAACGATTTGATAGTAGTATAATTTGGTACCGGTTGCTATGCAAAACTGTACTATAAGTTAATGGGGAAAAAGAGGTATTACTTTGAGCATTTTGTTTACATTTGTTTACAAGTAAGTTAAGATTGTAACTAACGAGAAACCATTCATTGATAAAACAAAGTCTTGCGTGAATATTAAATCTCTGTTCAAGGGAGGGAACTTCAATCATAATAAATAATTATTTTATCTCAGTTAATTACCTTTGAAAAAAACATAGTGGGTTTGCAACCAGCATGGATCCAGACCAGCCTATGCATCCGCGCACTCTTGTCAGGATCCACCAACCCTATTACAAGTAGAGAAACTGATAGCGAACAGCATGGCTCCTGATTAGACTGCGCGGATGCGCATGCTGGTCTGGATCCATGCTGGTCGCAAACCCACTATGTTGGTTTTGTCGTGACGCGGCTCATATGTTTAAAGAGATGGTCACAATAAAATAGCAAAAAGAAAAAATAGCCGATAAGACCTGTCACCCAAGCAATTATTTGGGAAACTGTTCAATATTTATAATAAAACATCGTTATTTCGAGTTACATAATGTATAACTTCATAATTTAAATTTAAACATCTCTGATTAATTCAATGTTGCTCATGTCAAATGTGACATAATGGACAAACAAAGAAAGAAAGGAAAAAAGAAAAAAAAGAAAGAAAAAAGATAGAAAGAAGACAGAAAAAAAGAAAGATTTTACTACTACAATCACACGTCAATAACATAATGCCATTCATCATAAAACAATTTATGCAGTACATGTGTGTGTTTTTATTTTTTTGGGTCGTCAGACCAAACAAATAATGGTAGCGAAATTTCAGACTCTAATGCTTTTAATTGCAAGTGCCGAAAGTAGTCCGCTGTTTTGAAGCGGTTACTTCCCTTTATATGTAAACTAACGCCGAACAATGCAGGGGAGATCACTGCGTAAAGATGGTTAAATGACAGGCGCATTAATTTTCAAGCAAAATAATTCCCGAATGGTCGAAGATTTCTAATATTGTTTTATTCTTTATAGATATACATGCTTATAGTAAGCTCCATGATTATTTACATATGTGTTAAACAACAGTTAGCGTCGTAACAAACCCTAATATAGAATGGTATAGTTTTCTTCAAACTGTTAACAAAAAAATTCACCGTGGCCGAGGCGTTTGCGCGCTCGCTTTGGAAGCTAGAGGTCTGGAGTTCATATCCCAGTTAAGGCAACTCTTTTTTTTCAAATTGTTTAAGTCAAATAAACATTGGGTTTAAATAAGTCTTATAGCCAATTTACTACAATTAAAACGCTGGAAAGCATTGATGGCACTTTACAAAAACAAATTGGTTTATAATCTCACAACCTTCACCCTGCTGACATTCTGAGACCCAAACAAATTCAGCGCCTTCTGTGCTTTGATTATCTTATTCATGTTTCCAATGGGATTCTGACTATTTGTCAGTAGGTACTTGGAACTAAGCGTTCCAGAATCCTGAAAGGTATAGTCTATGTTTTGATTTTCGTAAAAATCATGATAATAAAATAATAATACGATGCCTTGTGACATTTAATACAGCAATTTTTATTGTATGGACCGACTCCCTGCCTTCATCAACCATTTTATTTTGCCTTGCTGGATGACCTTCACTCTTTATGGAATGCAGCATCAATATAAATGATAAATCCCAAGTCTATTTTGTATCTCAGTTATAGACTGGAAAATACTTGAATATACAGTAGGCGCACTCAAAGACAGTTTTTAGTTACTATTAAATTGAAGAAGAAAAGTTCGAATTCAATAGAAGCTCAGTTATATTTATTTAATGAACGTTTACTGAATTATCTCTCCGTGTAAAATGTTCAAACCCATTTCCAAACGGCGCGTTGTCGGACTTTCGTATTATTGTTCTGTCGCTAACGATGCACGCCAAATGGTGCGTTGTTGTGTTGTCGCGATGTCACATTTCCGACCGGCTCAAATCGAAGGATTGGCTCATAAGCCATGCAACAGAGCGACATGGCGCCGCACGACAACGCGCCGTTTGGAGCGTTTCGCTAGCGACATGACGACAAGGCGATAACGATATAGCTAGGTTGTGTTGTCGCTATCGACAACGCAACGCGCAAAATGTACCAAATCAGCCACCATATCAACGTGCATATGGAATGTTTTACATACCTGTACAACACTAGATATCTTACCTAGTTACCTACCACCTTGCAAACTAAATATTTGTTTGGTTATTAAATATAAAAGTGAATGAAATCATTAAATATTATTCACAAGTAATATACAGTACACACTTTTATTGGTACATTTTGTCTTACAAGTATTTTGGTATGATTATCTCACATTACTGAACAGAACAAAAAAGTCGTTTCATATATTGTCTCCTATCACATGAACCACAAGTTTTAAAATTACATAAATTCAATAGTTATTTATACAACTTCTTATTTCAATGACTCACATATTTATTATGCTGTATACATGTATATGAAAATTATATACCAGGTTCTCCGTGAATAATTATCATACATAAACTTTTATTTTATTAAAATATGCAGACATTGATCAATACACATGAAAACATGTGTGCAGCATTTGCATAGAAGTATTTCTAAACATAACAAAATGCTTCTTGAAATAACGTGTAGACGAGGCAAAACAAACCCCATAAACATACAAAATACTGATTATATTCAATTTTGAACTTTTGAAACTGAAGTTCGCATAACGTTAAGTGAATTAAATCTAGATCTATATGTCTTTTTCGTAGCATGTGTGCACTTCATAGTAGAAATTAGGGGCATGTACATCTCTAGCGCTATGTTCAACATATACCTTCCCGTCAATCATGTCCTTATAACTGTCCAGCATTGGTAAATCTATTAAACTAGGTCTATAATTAACTAAAAAATAAGCTTGAGCATGGATATCTTCCTCTGAATCGTCATTTTGCTTTGTCAATATCACATCTTTTCGGACATACAAATTCGGATGATTTTCAAGTTTATCGAGTCGTTTTAACTGGGCATCATCAACTTCATACAGTTCTCCTTGAACATTCTGAAATAAAGCATATGACAAAGTTTACATTATGTGAACATAACATATCTAAATTTCGGACTATATTTAGATTTCTAAAACTAGATGTTTTAAAAGCGGCACACTTATCCAGTAATAAATACCTTAAAGATACGCTCCAGATCTAGATCTATATGAACGCTTAAATATGGATTAGATCTAAATGTACAATGTAGATCTATAATACAAACATTGAAAGCAAACTTTCATCTAGAATCTACTTACACTATTAATTTATATAGATCTACATGTATAATGAAAAACTTCAGGTTATCCTTTCCAACAAATATACCCTGATGAATAGTTTTTAAAACAATACAATTTAATATATACATGTGTGTACTTACATGCCCTGTTCCTGGTTTGTACAGTAAAAATGGAATGTTATATCTCGACGCTATAACCAGCGGGTATTTTTCTTTGGTGTAAACGGTACCAAGTCGTCTGCACACACCGGATGTTTCATCTTTCATCAGATTATAGTTTGGTTCACCGGTTTTCAATGTCCCGTACACAAATATCAAAAACATGTTGAACTGTTGATCCATTTATATACAGTTATATTTGCTGAATCTGCTGAAGAACTGCAAAAAGCACTAGATGCAATGTCAAATTATTGTCAATTATGGCATTTACAAGTTAATCCTAGTAAAACTAAAATTGTTGTTTTTTGTAAAAGTAAAAGAGGTTTATGTAATATTCCAGCCTTTAGTTTTGAAGGTAATTTGCTAGAAATTGTTGATGATTTTTCATATCTGGGTGTTAAGTTCTCTTATAATGGTAAATTTGCTAAAACAAAGAATCATTTATTAGAACAGGCAAGAAAGGCTATGTTTTCAATTATAGTTAAGGCTAGAAAATTGGATTTACCTATCAGTATGCAAATTCGTTTATTTGATGGCATGGTAGCACCTATATTGTTATATGGTAGCGAAGTGTGAGGAATTGAAAATGTGAATATCATAGATAGATTTCAATTAAAATTTTATAAACTCATATTAAATTTGAAACAAAGTACTCCAAATTGTATGCTTTATGGAGATTTAGGGATATTACCTTTATCTATTCATATAAAAAGTAGAGTTTTGTGCTTTTGGTAGCAAACAAGAATCAATAAGCCATATATTGTATGATATGTCACACTCTTTGTATTGTAGAAATGTGTTGAAACTCCCATGGATGAATAGTGTTTGTAAATTACTAGATTCACTGGGTTTATCAAATTTTTGGATTAATAATGTTGCCGCTTCTCTTCCATTGTTTAAGAAAATTGTTAAAAATAGACTGAAAGATCAATTCATTCAAAATTAGCATAGTGAAATGTCAGAATCAAGTAAATGTCTGAATTATAGAATGTACAAAAGTGAATTCAGATTTGATTTTTTTTTAGATATTTTACCATCTCATTTAGCTTTGGTACTATTGCGCTTTAGATGTATGAACCATAAAATGCCTACTGAGTCTGGTAGATTTTGAAATAAACCAAGAGAATTAAGAATTTGTAATTTATGCAATAATAGCTCACTTGGTGATGAATATCATTATTTATTTAATTGTCAATTCTTTAATACTGATAGAAAAAAATATATTACTAGAGGGTATAGTACTAATGTTAATTCAATCAAGTTTTCTATGTTAATGAATAGCACAGATAGGAGTATATTGTTAAAACTTGCAGTATTCTGTAAAAAAATTATTTCAGCATTTAAGTAACTGATAACTAAGCTTATTTTCATAATGTAACACTTTCATTTTTGATTTATATTTGCCATGTAATACATAGAGGATATTCAAGTTTTTTCTATAAATACATGATTTATTTTCATCGAGTGGTATGAAAATAAATATTTCATGAGTGGCAGTAGCCACGAGTGAAATATGGTAATTTTCATGCCACAAGATGAAAATAAATCATGTATTTATAGAAAAAACTTGAATTTTCTGTTTATTATGTACATTTTCTCTTTTTTGCGATAAAATTTGAAAAACTTTCCCTTAAATTTAGTGTACTGGTAGAATTTAAAAGAAAGTAGTCCGGCAAGACACCAGTGAAAATACGGAAAATATGTTTCACTGCAGTGAAAAATAAATTTTTACAGTGAAAATACGGAAAATGAAAATACGCATTTTATTTCATCAATATTTCTCAATATTTCATTTATAAGTATATAATAAATCAGTATATTTCGTGGATATCTCTTTATGATATGTCATATTATAAGTAAATATTATTGTATATGTGACTGATGCCTCTAAGAGGCCCAGCATTTTCAATAAACTGTTCAAACAAACATAAAATCGGTGTACACACATAAATCACCTCGTTCCGTTTGACTATGTAAACAAACCCAATCACATGTACCCGGATTTGTCCCAGCAGACAAGATAATTTTGCCTTAAACAAATGCACAACATTCTATGATTTCTGAACATAGAATATATCTTATAAAGAGGAAAACTAGCTGTTTGGAAGTTTTAACACTTAAAAAAGAAAGACAATAATGTGTGACGATGTACCTAATAACCGCAAGATTTCTTTCCCTTTTATAAAAGGCTACTGCATACATGTCACGCCCGGCAAACTGTCGCTCCACTTCAAAATTGTGGTGTACGGTAAAACGAGCGAAAGGCATTTCCGATATAGAGCGGAATGCCGATTTAAACGGATAATTGTAAGTATTGTTTGTGTTTTTGTCTTGTAAATCATTTAAGTTGTATTTTTTTCAAAACTCGATCAATTGATTTAGGCTTCCAATGATCTAAGCTGTTACAAAAAGAAAATTATATTAAGCCCGGGAGAACTTTTCCCACTGAACGACAATTTGTTTAATGTCAAACTCCCAACCATGGAAACGCTCTACACTTCGGATTTCTTGAAAAAGTGTTTTAGAAAAATATCGGCCCGTAAAAAGAGCTATTCTTTCGTGCAAAATCAACTACTCTAGGTGGATTTCTTAGATTTGTATTTCGATTTTTTTTTCGAAAGTAGTGGAGCCAAATGGCAAGAGATGGAGCGAGATGTCGGTTGTTGGGCGCAAGGCGATATTTAGTTGGTGTAAAGAGCGTAGTCTACGAATTTTTATAAATAAAACCTTTCAAAGTTAAAATAAACGTACTAAAATGCGAAGCCGGAGAAATATGATAATATATTAATTTATTTCTGCTATAACTAGGTTTATTTATTATCAATAATTTTAGTCCGTACACCGACTGAGCACTGCCTTTTTTATTACGTTCGTTTTGTTCATAGATCTATACTCTGTGAATAAACAAACAAAATTTGACAGATATTTCTTTTTAACTCATTTTTTATTGCCCAAGATTTGTACTGACAATATGCAGTGTTTGATTATAAAAGTAAACAGTTCTATTTACACTTTGAGAGGAAATGGTAAACTAAACAACAATGATAAATAAGAGAGGAAGTATCTTAAAACATAACGGAAACACGTTTATATCCATTTTGTCCCTCTCCCTCTTCCCCTGTGTCCCTATACTTTGTGTGCCTGTTTATCAGTCATTTATCTTTTTTCTTTGTTTTTCTTGTCGGTTTTCATCATTTCTTTTCATGTTTCATTATATAGTTAGTGATTGACCTTTCCGTGCTCCGCCTTGCGCCCTCTCCTGTTTCGTTTGAGAGCCCCCTGGGCTCCTTGCCACCGGTTCTTGTTGCTGGGTCGCATGGAAGTTGCGGTCATTGAACGCCGCCTTTCCTTGTAATCTTGTTTATCATATTTCATATCCTTAGAACGTCTGACACTTTTTCAACCTTTTTTATAGACATCCCCACCTTACAAAAGTCTTTCTATGTCATGAAAACGTGGCTTATTTGTGTTTGATCTGAACATGTATGTTAGAGCTATTAATTACAGAAAGTCATAGTAAAATGAACTCGGTAGTAGTGATCCATTTGATGTGCCCCGTGCATTGGATAATTTTGTCTCTGTTCTGCACCTTGAATATCTATCTTTTCGAAAAACACGTACCTGCTTGGAAACATTTGTTCGCTGTAGAACTGAAAATATTCAATTTGTCGAATTTGCACGGACACACGTTTGTAAATGTACATAACTGTGTCAAAAATCATGATTGACCTTGATTAAGTGGCAACCTGTATTACGCCATGCATATGATTCAATGATCGAGCCTCATCCAAATTTGGAACATAAGTAATCTATACGGCAGCGATAGGTGACACCTTTGCGATTACATTTATTACGCTATAGATGTGAAAGGATATGTATTAGAAAGGTAAGTATATCTCGATCACAACACTTGATTATGTCTATTTTAACTTATATAGCTTTAATATATAACAAATCATAGACTGCGCTCCTCCCTATACTCAAAATTAATATCGCCTTGCGCTCAACATTGAACCTTCCGCTCCATCTCTTGCCCTTTGGCTCCACTACTTTCGAAAAATATTGATTTACAAATTTAAGAAATTCCTCAGGAGTAATTTATGTTGCACGAAGGACAAGTTCTTATCACGGGTTGATATTTTTCTAATACACTTTTTAAAAAAATCCAAAGGGTATGGCATTTTAAAGGTTGGCAAGTTCAATATTCTACAAATCATCCTTCACTTCGTCAGGGAAAAAAGTTCTCCACTGGTTCTTGTGGCTGGGTCATATGGGGATTGCGTTCATTGAACGCCGCCTTTCCTTATTGATCTTGTTTATCATATTTAATATATTCCTTTTTGTAACTGTTTAGATCATTGGAAGCCTAAAACAATCCTACATGGAACTGCATCGAAAAAATACAACTTAAATGAATAACAAGACAAAAACATAGACAATACTTACAATTATCCGTTTAAATCGGCCTTCCGCTCTATCTCGGAAATGCCGTTCGCTCGTTTTACCGTACACCACAATTTTGAAGTGGAGCGACAGTTTGCCAGGCGTGCATGTAGATCTAGGCGATACAATATGTATTGATTGCTTTTGTTAATGTTTCCTAAATTAAAACCTTAAAACACTTTGCTTAGACTAGTATGAAATATATTCATCATATCTTTATTTGCAATCCATATTTATAGACAAATCAACTTTTTTTATAATTAGTGTGTAGTGTAAACACCCAGATCTGAATAACTCAATTTAATAAGTCAACACAATATCAAATTTATAAACGTCAGATATATGTATTTATTTAGTATAAGATATTATTCTATAAAACAATTGCTTAATCAGTGTCTTTAATAATTTCACAATTCTTAAACAAATACGTAAAGCAATAAGAATTAATATCAACTGCGTATCTAGCATAATTTAACCTGAGTGAGTGAGTCTATTTAACATCAAAAACCACACTAGAGAAAGTAATATTTTGCTTACCTTAAATAGTAAAATATTATACGCCTTAAACTTTATTAACCCATAATTCATAACTGCAAATATGCGTTTCCGGACAGCTAACAATTAAATTAACAATTATGTTTACACCCTATCGGTACAATCACCGCTTATGTGATGACATGCCCATCAATTAACTAAATTAGGCATATCTTACTCGTGTGTCCAGTGACAGCTTATTATAATTAATATATCCGCCTATGTTTTGTTGAATAATTACCGTCTAATTACCGTTATCCTACAAGTGAACACAAAGTCACACATCAATTTATTGATAATTTAATAAAAAGACAAGTCACACAAACACGAACATTCAGTGATTTTTTATTGCATACGTTTCGGCTATATGCCTTCATCAGTGCAAAACATAATATTTTTTTATTTTATTGATCATTTTATTACGTTCACTTCAACCATAAACCTTTTGAGTAAGTTAAGTAAGTATGTTAAATATATAAAATGTTAAGTTAAATGTTATGCTGATTAAATTGTTCGTGTCAGAAATATATTATGTAGAGTTACATTACATTCACTTTTCGATTACAATTTTTCAAACTTGGCATGTGTACATGACTGTCATGAATACAATCATTTATTACATTCAATATTTAGAAAATCTTCGGTCATTTGTATCCCCTCAAAAAAGTCAGTATTTTATACCATTTTTTTCCTTTACCGAACTGAAAAGGTACCTGCTACAAAATGCCTTCCACCAGACACGCATTGTGGGTTGGGTAATTCACCTTAATTAAAAGTTCATGTATATTGTGCTTCTCCTAGTTGTCGGTATGGTATAAAGAAGGAAAACAAACAATGAATTTAGCCTACTGTGAAAAAATGTCATCAGCTGTAATATTTAGGTATTTTCTGTTGTATGACAAAAGGAAACAAAAACCCATTTAATCAAAACAAGATTAAATTGATCATAGGTCGGCCGTGTTGAAAACAGAATGTCATCATTTAAATCGTGGTGAATGGTGATACACTAGTTGTATCATGTTTCAGTTAACATTACTTAATGTTATAATATTGCTTATTTTTAAATATCAAATAAGTAAAATACTGGGCTGGTTTATGTAAAAGTCTACAGATTAAAAAAATTTGCTTAAAAAAATAAATAAGAAAAAATAAAATAAAATAAAATTTTGTCAAGTTGTTTGTATGCCTTATAATATTATGCCAGTTTTGACTAATTTTAACACTAGTCACATGAAAATATGCCATACCGTGAATTACCGACGCGAAATTGATGTGGAGTATAAATTATAAAACTAATTTATAATTCTGTGTTGAGACTTCATTTAGTTTGAAATTATTTAAAACAATATATAAACGTACATATAATTATATCTTAAAATAGATATTAACTGTCACTTAATCAAATGGACAATAAATTGGACTTTTATGTACGG